AAGGGCCAGCGGATCGGTCCCCGGGGAGGAAGGCGAGCGCCGCGGAGGACGCCTGGGAGCCAACCCGAGCTGCCGGAGGAGGGAGCCCACAGAGGGCCCGCAAAGGGGGAAGAGGATGCACCAAGAGCCCAGAGGGACCCTCACGAGGAAGGGGTCCCGCAGCGTCTCAGACTCCAAGAAGGAGCAGAGCAGATGGCCCTAAGCCCAGGCATGCTGCAGGGAGGACGAGGACAGAGCAATTACTCGCTGCCTCTCACACGGCAAGGACTGGAGCCATCAGGCAGCAGGTGTAACTTGGCAAAAAGGACCCCATACCTGGAGACCTGGTTAAAGAATGGCTCGCCAGGGCTTCCTGCCGTGTATCAGCAGGTTGCCTGCCCTCACCTTGCTTTTGCCATGCGCAGGTCACACACAGGTCCCCTTTTTTGCATTCCCTTCAATTTTACCAATAACAACGAGTAACGTGCATCCTTCTCGATTCTGCGTGTCCTACAGTAGCTCCAATAGCTTCGTCTGTCAATATGTAGGACCTGACAAGCTTCGTAAACCGACATGGCGAATCCCTAGGCGTTTCACGAAGCAATCCCGAGAGGACGGGGACGGGGCTGGGTCCACCAGCGATTGCACCAAGTCCACCAGCGATTGCACCAGGCTCTGCTGGAGGCTGGGACGTGGCGGGTCCATCCTCCAGAGCAGAAGCCAGGTGCCGGGAAGAGCTCCTGCATTTGGAGCACCTACGCCAGTGTCTCGCCATGGCAGAGCTCACCTGGAAGTCCTGCGGTTTGTTGGGCAGGGGCTTTTTGGGCGAGCTTTTCCTCCGCTTAATCCCATGGATGTGGTGCGCAGGTGGCTTGCGGGGCAGGGTGGGCTGCTCGGCCCCTGAGGGCCCCGAGGATGGCTCCGTCTCGTCCCCCGTCGCGGTCTGATCTTCGGTATCCTCCTCAGCAGCCGTTTCTGCAGGGGCAAGAGGCAGGTCAGGGTGGCAGGAAAGGGAGGAAGGCAGTGCATTACTCGAGACCGTTCACGATCTCCTGTTCAGCCCAGGAGGGTACCTCGAGCTGAACGGGAGCTCGGGGCTACAAGCCGTAACAGCTCTGCTACCCTGAGCTGCAGACACCCAAAATCTCAGGTGCTGCAGGTTGCAGGGAGAGCGCCGGACCCCAGACCTGCGCCCACCCTGCGTCACCCCGCCACGCGCTGACGGGGTACGGCTCCAACCTGCCCCGACTGCACGAGCCGGGGGT